ATTTTACATATCTTTAAAAACACTTCAGAAACATAATTTGTACGATTGAAAACATTGTTTAACTACATAACTTACAAAATTACAAACATAACCTACAAAACAATTTACTACTCATCTATATTTTGTGTGTATGAAAGGGATTTGAAGAAATCATGATGTTCCGATGATATATATCGTAATAGATCAATTATGTCCTTGAATTTTGCTGTTGTAATTTGTTTGATATTTTATACAGTAGTGTCAATACAGTATTTTCGAACATTTTGGGTCTAACCCAACGTGGTAATGAATTCAGGATTTTCAAATTTTCATTCTCATTCATTGATGTCTTATAGAAAATTTGATATGGTTTATTTCTGAAAAAAAAAAACGTATTCAAACATATTTTTAAACATTTTATTAATTCTTCATCAGAATTTTTGACCCTTTTCAAAATTGCGTCTTCTAATAATTTGGTTACTGCAAAATCTTTTTATCTCATTTTATTAACAATAAAGTATTGTCATATTTAATCGGAATACATGCAAAATCAAATGTTTTATTGATACATAACATAAAGTTATACAGTAACCAAGTGCAACCCGAAAATAATAAATGACGAATGAAGATAAGCAACTTTCAAAATAAACATTTCATCATTCTGTTGATCAACAAATTTTCGTGTTACAATATCTTCATGATTTTAAATGTATTTGTAACAAATTGCTTTAGAATAAAAAGATCATGTAAAAATGTAACTATTACAGTAGCTAACTCGATATTTTTGGAAAATGGAGATGAGCCAGTTTCAAAATAGGTGGCCCATATACATATTGGGTTTAAAACTAAGTCATTGTGGATTTTGTTATACACCTAATTTAGTTTTTTGATAGCAAAGATCAGAAATTTGGTGAACATGGTATTTGACCAATGGTAAAAGGTCATYAACAAAAATGGACAGTACCCAATTGAACAAACTTATATTCTTAAGCCAAAATTTGGAATTTTCATTCTTATTTCAAATCCGCAATGCACTTAGTTGCCAACCCAATATTTATTTGAGTTAAAAATGATTTTTGG